CACTCACTAGTCTCTAGTTCAGTGACGTGACTGGTAATAATCCAGATGTCAACACAGTGTAATACTCACATCACTGATATGAAACTGCTTGCAAAAGCGTGATTCTGGGCACCAAACCGTTTTTAAGAGAAGAATGATGAGAGAGAGAGAGAGAGAGAGAGAGAGAGGATAGAGCTGTATCAAAAGACTAAATAAAAATAATTTAAAAATCTTCCACTTCACATGAACTTACAAAATATAATTCCAAGCACATCTAGAAACCTAACACTAAGAAAGACAGCCAACAAAGCAGACCATTAAAAATAAATTTGTCCCAGAAGAGTCTGATATATTGAAAGAGCCTGGCCAAGGATATTTGGGATGCTCAAAATATAAATAAAGGAATTCCATTGTAGGGAGCAAGGCCCCTGACCCCATAAAGGTTTTCCGAAAAATCACTGGGATGAGACAGATTGATTAGTAGGAAAAAAGACATACAAACTTATTTAACATGTATACATGGGAGCCTTCAGAATATTGACCCAAAGTTATAGGGAAAATTGTCCATTTTTATGCTTAGATTCAACAATATGGACAGCTGTATAGAAATGTGATTGGACAAGAAGGGTATGATCTAATGCTATAATGATAGACTGGGGAAACCCAGCACTGCCTCTCTACATGCTTCCTGGCCTCTCTGAGCAGCATTCCTTCCTTCTGGGTGTGGGGCACGGCCCTCTCTGGAATGGGGGTCTAATGACCTACAGTCAAACAAGATAGGACAGATAATTACCTTGTGGCCAGTTTTTACATAGGATAATTTTAGATTTTATGACTGGCTTTGTGGAGAGGGGATTCTGGCTTTTATGATCTGCTTTGGGGAAGAGAAATTTGGCTTCTATGGCTAGCCTCAGGGAAGACTGGGACTGAGAGGCAGGAAGACAGGAGAAGGTCAGAGAAAAACTTTTGCTTCTGAGGCTATTCCTGAAGCCCTCATCATGGGGTACTGTTTTCTGAGCCCCAACACCATCCCTAAAGAAAGGCGGAAAATCCTGAAACAAGAATTATCAATTACCTAATTATTATTTATTTACAAATATTTTTTAAGATGACACTATGTTCCACCTACTATTACAGGTGCTGAAGATGCAGGAATGAACAAAAATAAATAATAAAATGTGGTATATGTATACAATGGAATACTACTCAATTACAAAAAACAGTGGTGAACTAGCAACTCCTGTATTATCCTGGATAGAGCTTGAGCCCATCCTCCGATGTGAGGTATCACAAGAATGGAAAAATAAGTACCACATGTACTCGCCATCAAATTGGCACTAACTGATCAACACCAAGGTGCTCACGTGGTAGTAATATTCATTGGGGATTGGGAGTGTGGGGGGTAAACTCACAACTAATGGATGCAGTGAGCACTGTATGGGGGAAGGGCACACCTCTAGCCCTGGCTTGGGTGAGGCAAAGTCAAAACTTGTAACCAAAATATTTGTACCCCCATAATATCCTGGGATTTAAAAAAAAATCCATAAAAAATAAGTAAATAAATAAATAAAATCCATACAGAGAGGATTTACATTCTAGCAGAGCATTTGCCTTTTAGTGGCAGACATGAAATAAGAAGAGGTAGAAATCTTAGAAATGAAAAAGCTAGTCATTGGAATAAAATTTCCAATAGAAAGCACAGACTCTAGGCTTGACACAGAAACATTGTTGCTCATTTGGAAGATACTACTAAGGAAATCATCTAAAATGCAGTGATGAGAAGTAAGATGTTAAAAGAAAGTGTGAGGGGGAGAAAACATGAGAATGTGTGAACATATGTCTAATGGAAGTTCCAGAAGACAAAGAAAATAGAAATGATGGTGGAAAGACAATAGTTGGAGAGATAATAGCTAAGTTTTTTTTTTTTTTTTTTTTAAGACAAGGTCTTGCTGTGTTGCTCAGACTGGAGTGCAGTAGTGTCATCATAGCTCACTGCAACCTCAAACTCCTGGACTCAAGCTATCTCCCTGCTTCAGCATCTTGAATAGTTGGGACTACAGGCGCTCGCCTCCATGCCTAGCTAATTTTTATATTTTTTGTAGTGACAGGGTCTGGCTGTGTTGCTCAGGCTGGTCTGGAACTCCTGGCCTCAAGTGATCCTCCAGTCCCGGCCGCCCAAAGTGCTAGGATTATAGGCATGAGCCACCAACCTGGGCCGCTAAGATTATTTTAGAATTGAAGACAAGACTCCTCAAGTTGCAAGTACACTCTGAGGACCTATCTGGTGAAGGAGCTCAGGAAATTTCACCAGCTGTCTAAATAACAATAAATCTACACCTAAACACTTTGAGGTAAAACTTCAGAACATCAAGGATAGAAAGGAAATCTTAACCTTTCAATGAAAAAATATAGGCTAGACCTAAAACAATGACCGTTAGATTGAAAGCAGATGCCAAGGGGAAAAATTTACTGTCAATCTAGATTGTAGAATTGTATGCCATTGTCAAATGCTGACCAAAACCATTAATTGAATAATCAACTTTAAAAGTTGAATATTCTTGAGGAAGTAAACCTAGAAAAGTGTGGGATTAAAAAAAAAAAAAAAAAGGAAAGAGGAGCAGAAACTTTTAAGTCATTAAATGTAACTATTTAACTTTTGCTGTGAAAAGTAACAACAAATTTCTATGCAAAAAGACAATAAAACTACATGAAAGTCAGAAATGTGAGTAGGCAAATAAAAGAAGAAAAAGAAACACAAATGGCCAATAAATATATGCAAATTGAAAATAAAAACTACAAAGGGTAAAAGTCTAATAGCACCAATGTAAAGGAGGATGTGAAAGGATGATCGTACATGTCGGTACCTCCACCTGGGCCTGCGGCGGGTGACCTTGTGTAGCACAGAGGTGGTAAGTGTCAGCTTCAGGGTGGTCTTTCTTCTGAGAAGTAGAGATTGGAACAAGAATGGGAGTGGAGAAGGGTGAACAACTAGGGGCTTGAAGCTGTAAAGTTTTGTTCTGTTAAAAAGTGAAGCAAAAGGGCAAAACGTTCAGCTTTGTTAAAGCATTGTGGTGCCTACATGGGTTTTCATGGTACTATCCTAATGAATACAATTGAAACAAAAAGTCACACAGAACTTTCAGAAGAACAGGAATTTTGGGATACAGCAACAATGTTTACGAAACGACCAGCTTTCTGGCAATGAGACAAGCTACGTGGCCATTTCCCCTCTGTGGCCCCCAACTCCCTTAGAATAAAACCTTCCCAGGGCCATTATCTCCTTTGGATACTGGGGAAAACATAGAAGAATTTTAAATAAGACCTCAGATACCTTTGATTTTAAACACAGAAATGATCTTTCAATCTCTGCTTTTGCTCTTGGTCTAGTGCTTTTGGTAGAAACTAATTCACCCAGCAAAATGGAACTGTATTTTCATGGCACTTGATGGGTAATCCACTTTGCTGTGGCTTGTGTCACCATAACTCAGTCACTGTGATCTGGTCGCTGCCTGGCGCTGCTGTAGCCCCCACACCCCCCAGCAGCCTTACGTGCTCAGGAGCAGTGTGTGTGGCCGAGGGAACTGCAGGTGGTACCTGGAAGTCTCATAGGAGTGCAAAGTGAGGTACAGAAAGTGACAGCCAACCTTGGATGCTGAGTTGTTTACGATCTCTTTTGGGGGACGATTTGATCTGTATTTTAGGCAAGAAGATATAATTCTCAATAAGGATGAGCGTAATTGTCAGTGTGGAAATTACTCTTTAGACTTAAAGCTTTTTTAATTTAAAGTGTAAGACTTGACTAATCCACATTACTTTATCTTAAAAAGACAAAAAAACAGCAATACTACTAGTCATGAGAATAGCACTCTGTGTGTGTGCACCGGCACACACTTAGCAGGGCTCACAAAACCAGCACACGAGGCATAAAGTTCTCCCACACTATTTTGCCCGATACTACCTGTGAATTTGATAATAATCTGCCAATACTTTGAAATCCTCAAAGGTGCTCTGAAACACCAATATAATAGGCTTTTACTTGACTATCTAACTCGCTAATATTATGGGACTTACTTTGTTCCATCAATATTAAAACTTCACATCTTAGAAATAATTTCATCTCATCAAAAGTAAAAACTAGATGATTAATGTGAAGATATTTTATGCCATTGAACTGTATGCTTAAGAATGGTTAAAATGGTAAGTTTCGTGTTATACTGCATATATTTTACCATAATTTAAAAAAAATAGATACTAGTTCAAATAAAACCTAAATGTATCCTGTATCCATATGTCATTCCCCTAACATTTCTGTTTAGTGTTGAGCCACAAGCGAAGCACACACGGCAATAATTCTTTGGAATTGCATGTACTTATTGCAGGGTCATTAGGATTCCACCTTGTGTATTAAAATACTCATTTCCATATTACATCCTGGTGACAAAAAGGAGCCATTGCACCCTAAAAGAGAGTTTAACTTCTGAGCATAGCTTAGTGATGGAAAGAATGGGCTAAGTATTCTGTTTAATGTTAGGTTTTTTGAGTATTAGTTTCATCATATTAAATCTTTACAATAAATGAAAACTGGATAATGTTCTCCAAGTCACAAGAAAATGTATTTCTTCAACTTTTTAATAATAATATTAATTATTGCAAATATTGATAAGCACTTACTATGTATTATGTACTGTTCTAGACATCTGGATTAACTCATTTAATCATCTCGGCAGCCTCAGGAAGTAAAAGCTAATGCTATCCTCAAATTATTAATACAAATGAGAGAATCGAACATGGGTGGGGTACGTGATCTCTCTAAGGCCACATAATGTGTAATGGAGCTGGTGGTATCTTGAATCATTTTTCTAATGGAAGACTGTTGACTTTTGTGCAACTCCAGTCTTCTAGTGTTCAGTGCTTTTGTTTATTCACTTGTTTTTAAAAGAAAGTCAGTGAAACTTGAATGTCTTTGTGTATTTTATGTTTTTTTCTGACAACAAATGATAATGTCCTCTGGATTCTTACAGGGCATTCTACTTGGACAAGTCCAATTCACCACCAGACTCCACATCCAAAGCTGCCTATGTAGATAAGGTAAAACAGATGATTATGTTTATTGATGCTTTATTATTTACTTACCTCCCTTATTTGATTTTTCTGCTGTTATTCTTGAGCAATGAGTAATTATAAATATTTGCAGTCTCCAATTCTGTTACTTCCGTAACAAAATAACAATTTAGACCCTTAATTAAAAGGTACAACAACTGTGCATTGTAATCTATCCAAAAATATTTTACTAAACATGTTGAACTTTATATGTTCATCACTTTTTTCTGCAGCTCATGAGGCCTCTCAATGCCTTGGATGAACTTTACCGGCTGGTAGCCTCGTTTATCAGATCCAAACGCACGGCCGCGTGTGCGAACACAGCCTGCAGCGCCTCTGGAGTGGGGCTGCTGTCAGTCTCCTCGGAGCTGTGCAGCCGGCTGGGCGCCTGTCACATCATCATGTGCAGCAGCGGCGTCCACCGGTACGTGCACTTCCCACCTCGCTCGCGTCTTTGTTATACCGCATTTTATTTGGTGATTCTTGTTTGCATTTTGGCCGCACAAAATTAAAACTGCAAACACTTGAAGGACTCATACGTATTTGGAATAAGATTCTGGGTGTAGTTCTCGTATTTCAGTGACTATGTAGTCATACAAATGCTTGCAATCCTACGTTTATATCATTGTGGCCCAGAATCTCGGCACCCTTGCATTTATATTAACATATTTGCATTTCAGGTACAAAAATGTGCATCCATTTTATTCACTGTAGGAGTTTGCTTAGTAGGAGCTGAATCAACTACTAACTAGCCCAACACAACACTGCACTTGATAAACATTCCACTATTCAGTAGTTCAGGTCCCTATAACCCAAATGTGGGCTAGATTGATGCTGCTGTAGAGCTGCAACTGCTTTCCAACTCCTAGCAAAATTATGATTCCGTGTGCCCTCCCTGAAAATGTAAGGAGAAATCTTCGATGGATCCCATTCAGGTGGCTTGTGTTGGCAAGTGCACGCCGTCTGGGGCAGCCACGTTAGGAGCAGGAATTCATGCAGCTACATCAGTCTCATCAGACTCCAAATGTGAGTGGGAATCCTCACGTCCAGTCCCTCTTCATAATCACAAGCTCCTCTTCTGTCACCTCCCCGTTGTCACGAGGAAGTGAAACCATGTGGATGGAAATAACAGGGCAGGATTTTAGTGCTCATTTTAATCTGTCTCTGTTACCAGACATAGTCTTTTCTTGGTACTAGCCGAGTTCGATTTTGAGGATGGTGTTTACTTTATTCAGATTTACTCGGTGCTTAATCCATGCGAAGAATTGCAGGCAGTTGGTGCTGCTGGCTGTGTAATATCATAAAATGTTTGTGTTGGAGATGTAGAGCATAAAGAGAAAACAACAAAAAAAATTAATAAAAATAATAACAATAAGATAACATAATGATAAAAATTAATACTCACAAGAAACCTAAAGTACAAGAAAATGTAAATGACCCAGGAAAGTTACAGCTACTGAACAAGATTCAGAGGGCCAAATAGATCTTTGAGATGGTTAGATCTGGAAGCTTTCCATGGGGAAGGTGATGTTTGTTTTGGGTTTTGATGGATCAGGTGATGGAAGTAGAAAGGGAAGAAAGGCCATTCAAGGCAGCAGCCTCTCTGCTCTGTGAAATTCCATTTCAGCGTGATGTGGCCAAGTTCTAGTTTTCAAGCCCTACACAGCATGATCTTATTTATGAAACATGGCAAGACTGTTTCTCTGAAAGGATGATTAAATTTTTGTAGTTGATAAAATCTGCAGAATTTCCCCCTTTCGTTGCTGTATACTTTGTACTCTATTGTAAGCTTATTAAGAGCTTAATTGAAAATATCATCGGCAACTGAATGAATCAAATATTTAAATATTTTTCTGTTTGCTTTCAGAGAAGTGAGGTCTCCCTTCTGATAAACTCAACTTCATTCAGCCCATTCTCATTCATCTATTCATTGATTATTCATTCATTCAATAAGTATGCATTTCAGCACCAATTATGTGCTAGCAGCATTCTAGTTGCTGGGGGCGCAACATTAAAAATATAAAGTACCTACTGTCTTACAGTGTGCATTGCATTGGGGGAATTGGATGATAAAGTGAACAAATATGCAATGTGGCAGGTAGAATAAGTACAAAAAAGAACAGAAGTCAGAGCAGTAAGAGGTGACAGGATAGGAGAAAGTGTTCCACTTTCCGATAGGGGGATTTCATTAGAGACCTGTAGGAAATGAAGGAGTGTGTCACGCAGATATCTCAGAGCAAGAGCATTCAGACCTTGGGGCCAGCAGCGCAATGTCCTCAGGTGGGAGCATGCCAAATGTGTTCAGGGAACAGCAGGGAGTCACTTGTGGCCTCAACATGGTGTCATTGCCTTGATAATTTGTGCTTTTATCTTACCCTGGGACAAAATAGTTATCAGAGGACTGGATACATTAGATCAACGAAGGGGACACTTCAGACTTTGAAACTATAAGCTTATACTCAAGTCCACATTAATCTGCTGAAAGTTAATGCAGTTAAATCTACCGTTTAGTCCTAGAGACCATGACTAAGTTGTCCAAATTATTTTCTCAGATGTTCCGTGAGCAATTTTAGAATTTCACTAGAGTTGTATAAGAGAAACAGATGGATGTCCTGCAACTATTTTATAATTGCTATATTCATTGATTGGTGTGTTAGAATCACAAGGACCATAGAAATTTCAAAATACATTGGCTTTTTCCATGTCTATAATTCAAAATAAATATAGCTTTAGCTGATTCACTTCAGGAGACATTTACCAAGGTGTAGGCATTTACCAATGTCCCATGACAGGGGCTGAATTTAAGGTTAGAACTATTTAAAATTTTACAGTTCTATTTTTCTATTATGTAGAATATAACGGGGAATTTAACATGATCCTTAATTTTTCAGTGAGGACTAATGCTCAGATTTTTCATGATGATAAAATGTGTGCTAATTTGTATTGGAATCCAAAATCCCACAGAAGGCTGTTCCTAAAATAATCCTTTAGTAATTCTAATTCAGACAGCTTGAGAGGAACCCAAGCAGATCCACACCTGCATGAAACATTAAACACAGGGGTTTACCCTCAGGTTCTGACAGAGGGAAGAAATTCACAGTGTGAATGAGAATAAATATTATACAAGCTATTTTTATCATTTACTTTTAAAATCAAGATGAAAAATAGTCAACAGTAAGATATCCACATTACATAGTCAATTTTCTGCCTTTTCTGATGTTGATGAGCAAGAAGAGCATCCAAGATATTTTTTAAAACTATTGAATTATATTGCATATATTTGATATTAAAGGGAAGAATGTGGGTTTTTTGGAATGAAAACAGATTTAATTAACATTCATGTCTAGGTGTTTTAATGCCAACCTGGATCAGATGGCAGAGCTATATACAACAGTGAATATGAGATTAGTAGGAATAGAATTCAGGATGAATTATTAAAATCTTCTCATAGCGTTTAGCCTGGTTTTGTTTTTATTCTCTTCCCCAGGGTAATCTTCTGTGTGAATTATAAGTGTACTGATAAACTTTCTGTCCGTACTCTCTTAAACCATTCACTTATGTTTAATGTCTTCCTTGCTGTTGAATAGTGGAAGAGGAATATAATGGTCTCTTTTTAAGATCAGGATTTTGCCTTTTAATTAATATAACCATGATTCAAAGGTAGTTTAATAAATGGAAAAATTTTCTATCCCGACGTACCTTTTTTCATTTTCATTTTATATCATCTCTTATAACTTCCATCAAACAACACACAATTGAACATACCTTTATTAGCATATATAGCATCTTAATTCATTTGTGCTATTGCAAGAAAATACCTGAGACTAGATAATTTATAAAGAACAGAAATTTATTTCCTCACGGTCCTGGAGGCTGAAAGTTCAAACTCATGGTGCCAGCAGATTTGGTGTCTGGTGAGGGTCCTGGTCTCTACTTCCAAGGTGGCGCCTTGAATGCTGTGTCCTCACATGGCAAAAGATCAAAAGGGAGAGAGGCAGCTCCCTGGAATCTCTTTTATACAGGCGATAATCCATTCATGAGGGCTCCACTCTCACGACTTTATCACCTCCTAAAGGCCCCACCTCTTAATACTATCACATTGGCAATTAATTTCAACATATGAATTTTGAAGGATACATTCAGACAGTAGCACATAGTTTAATAATCTGCCTTATGCTCATGGCAAATTTTTTCAAAATGTGCACATAGACTTTCTTCTTCTTATTATTATTTTGCTACATGATATTTCATCCACTTGGCAGGCCATAATTTACTAAACTATTCTCTTAGTGATTTCTCTTTTTTCTCCATTGCACATAATACCTGCAGAAGCATCTTTCTATATATTGCTGTTGAAATTTCAGTCTTTTTTTCCATTAGCCTAAAAGAAAAAAAACACAAACAAAAATGCGATTCAGGTTGAATTACTGTGTCAAAGAGTTTAAACCTTCAATATATTGTTGTTTAGGTTCCCATAAGGATTGTCCTCATGTACAGTACAACCAGTAGGGTGGAGAGTTGTGGGCCACTTCCACCTTTGCCTTGTCTGCAGAGCATATTTGAGTCCATTTATATATTGGGCATCTTTACTAGATGTACAGTTATATTTCAGTCGTACATCAATTTATATACTTCTTTGATGAAAAAAATAAAAGTATTTGATATCTTTTGAATTTCCTTTCCTATAAAGAGTCATGCTATTTATATTGTACATATACCTGCTTTATAGGCAAAGTTATTTTTTGCCAAATTGAACCTTTTTAAGGTATTGAATCAGCACTGTGGCTTTTCAAGTTCTCTTTTGTACCCATGGCAGTTATTTGTTGCAGGCAATCAAAAAGCTTGCTACAGGGATTTCTAAATTTCCCTTTTATTTCTCACTGCAGCATCCATCCATTCAATGCCGTGTTTTAATTTGTTTTGGTTCTTTATTCCTACCCTGCTTAATAGCCAACTGTTTTTCTTTAACCAGTATAAATCAGTATACTGCAAATGTTATAAAACAAAAAGCATGAATCTTTTTTTCTTCTTTTGAAACAGAGTCTCACTCTGTCACCCCAGGTAGAGTGCAGTGGCATCATGGTAGCTCACTGAAACCTCAAACTGCTGAGCTTAAGCAATCCTCCTGCCACAGCCTCTCGAATAGCTGGGACTATAGGCACCACGCCACGACACCTGGCTAATTTTTCTATTTTTAGTAGAGACGGGGTCTTGCTCTTGCTCAGGCTGGTCTCCAACTCGATCCTCCCACCTCAGCCTCCCAGAGTGCTAGGATTATAGGTGTGAGCCACCACACCCAGCCCAAAGCATGAATATTACTGAGTCCCAAAACAAAGATGACATTTCCTTCCCATCACATTAATTTGTGCCTCCTTAGTGGGAACAAGTGGGTAGAAATTTTTAGAAGGTACTTGAAAGGATAAA